TAGCCAATGGTTCCAGTATGTCCTAAGATCGAACTATTAGTTGATATGCCACTTACTCCATTGGTGGCTATGTTACTGGTCGAAGATGCAACAGACTGTGCATTCGAAGGGGTTACATTAGATGTTCCGATCGAAGTGGACGCGTTAGTGCCTGTTGCATGTGGGCCGTTTTGGTCCCCTTGTTGATTGTCTGCATTAGACATTTTGTCCAAACGTTTTCTTCTGGATAAAGGTTGGTTGCTGTTGGTTATCTTACCACTTCTCAGGTTCATAAAACAGCAAACTTCTTAGGTTCCAACGTTTTTTTAATGGTTATGTTTCAACAATCCTTATTCCTAATACCCAATTATTCGTCCCACTGGGCGTGTCAATTTGTTTCCAGTGATTTCTGGTAAACAACCGCTAGTCTTCCAAACTATCGAATAATCTTTCTGACTGTTATTCAATTCCTCTGGTAACTCACAGGATCGACTAGATTGATCCTAGGACTCCTTGGATATTAAGGTTACTCTCACGATCGAACAGATATTCATGGTTGATATTGTACATGTGTTTGGCCTATTTCGATTTCTCTCTCTAAAAATCTAAAGATGTAATCAAAATGTGTGTGAAAACTAAATTGCATGAATAAATGCTAATTGTAATGCTAATTGTAAAGACATGTAAAACTGCATAAAAGTGAAGTAAATGGTTTCGACTTACAGAACAGTTAATGTAAAGGTTTTCTGGAACGCAAAAGGTTTGAAATATGAAGAAAGCGTTTAATGCAAGAAATCTTTAAATGACTTTAAGTAAAAATATGCTTCGAAAGATAAGACTTGAAGGTAAAGGTATGGAAAATATGACAGTTTTCTGAGATATGAAGTGCTTGAAATATGAAGAAAACAATAAAATGTGAAACTTTGAAGAAGAGATTTCGAAGTGAAAAGACTGTAAATAAGAAAACTTGTAAAGGTTATTTGACAAAAAGGATAAAGGAAAGTACTGGAAATGGTAAAAGATTTTCATTAAATCAGAAATACATGGTGCTATCATACATACATTTCTCTTGCATTCGTTTCCCTTGCCATGTGGTAGTTTGAATGTTATTGAGTATTTTGTATAATAGATATGACACACGAAATCCTAATACTAAGACTTCTATTTATACTAATTCGACCATAACGGTCTTGCTATAGGATTATGCCACGTTTAGAACATGCAGGACAGTGCCTCTTTCATCTTTCCACGTGTCCCCAAATGCTCCAACACATAACTTTCAAACTTTGAAAGTCCCGCTTCCATTTGAATTTCAAATGCTTTGGTGCTTCTCTGTTTCGAACGCTCTTCCCAGACACAGCCTTGTTGTTATTTCGAGACTTCTTTAGATATGTTCCCATAATTGCCACTCGAAGCTCCAAGCTTTGACACACTTATTCGAAACACTGCTTCTGCTCCTTCGAAATATGACGCTTCACCTCATTTCGATCAAAACGTTTAATTCATTTGGCTTCTAATATCATTATCAAAATCTTCAGCCAACACCAAGATACATTTCCCTTCCCATCATTCTTATGTCTTCCTAAATGATGATCCAAACCCTTACCTTGTCCATTAGTGGTGAAATCAAATGTTACCACCTGTTATAAATAACCAAACAACACCAGAAATCACAATCGACCAACCCACCTCAGCAACAAACCAACAATCACTCTCTGATCCCTCCCCGACCAGCTCATCGGTTGGGATCTCCTCTCTCCCTCGCCACCGTCAATCCAACCAAATTCACCTCCGCCTACACAGACCATCACCACTCGTAGCATGAAAGGAATTGTCAAACCCATCAAGATATTCACCCTATCAGTTTCTCTACCTGACCATGCCATCTCTCTCATGCCTAAAAACCCTAAGCTAGCCTTATATGACCCGATTTGAAAATCTTCAATGCAATCTCAATTTAATGCTCTTATTCGAAATAAGACATGGGATTTATTTCCCCGACCTTGTGATGTTAATCTTATTCGATGTATGTGGATTTATAGACTAAGAAAATTTCGAATAACTCCTTTGAGCGTTAGAAGGCTCGTCTTGTAGTGATGGAAGGTCACAAGTTGTAGGTGTGGATTGTGATGAAACTTTCATCCTCGTGGTGAAACTCGCTACCATTCGAACAGTGATCACCATTTCTATATCCAAATCATGGCCCATTCATCAATTGGATGTCCAGAATGTCTTTTTACATGGTGAATTTCATGAGACTGTTTACATGCATCAGCCATTGGATTTTCGCGACCCCGGTCATCCAAATTACGTATTTCGTATGAAGAATTCACTTTATGGTCTCAAGCAAGCACTCAGGTCATGGTACCAATGTTTTATTGACTATGTCGCCACCATTGATTTCCGCCATAGCACATCAAACCACTCTCTCTTCATATATCGAGGAAGTTAAGACATTGCATGCATTCTTTTATACAAGGACGACATCTTCCTTATTACCTTCACTCAGTTCCTTTGCAAATCAATTATGTCACTTTTAGCATCTGAGTTTGCGATGAAGAGTCTGAGACCCCTGAGTAACTTTTTGGGTATTGCAGTATCTCGTCACTCTAGTGACATCTTTCTCAGTCAAAGCACTTATGCCTCAAAGAAGAAACTAATTATCTCCTCAATCAGACTCTTATGTCGACTCCAAGAAGAAACTTAGTATCTCCTTCGACAGTCCGTATGAGGATCACTTACTATATCAGAGTCTTGCAGGGACTTTATAGTATCTCACATTGACTCAACATGACATATCATATGCAGTTCAGAAAGTTTGTCTTCACGTGCTTGCACCTTACATGGAATACGAGCTTGCTCTTAAGCGCGTTCTTCGCTATGTTCGAAGAACCATACATTTTGGATTACATTTATCATCATCCCTCATTACAAATCTTATCTCCTACACTGATACTGATTGGGGTGGATGTCAGGCACTAGACGCTCTACATCTTATTCAAGTGTTTTTCTAGGTGACAAACTTATTTCTTGGTCTTCTAAAATTCAACCTACTCTCTTTTGTTCTAGTGTTGAAGCCGAATTATGGGTGTTGCCAATGTTTTCTCTGAATCGTGTTGGATTCTCAATCTTCTCTTAGAGCTCCATTTTCCTATTCTCACAAGTATACCTTCATAAATGCTTCACACAACCCACTTCATGGTCATTTCCAACGTCATTGAAAATATACATGATGTATACCACGGTGAATACCTAAATCATAAACTCAAGATAAAAGATGAAATTATTTGCTACGATGGAACGAGTCCTTTGCAGCACTATGTTATCAATTGATTTTATTTCCATTTTTTACTTAGAATTAGCGCATGATTATGTCTTTTCCTTATATGATGAACAAAGTTCTCTCTAGTCTTGATGAACACGAGAGGAAAAATAGTTTGGATGATATTGAAGATTTGCGGGTGATTGTTTGTGTGGCTAATAACAGAAGATTTAATCATGGATCCAGTGGAATTTTTTGTTAATCTCTTAAGAGAGAAAGTAGAGAAAATTCTAAGATGTGTTCATATTGTGGCATACTTAGACATGGCATATGTTTATTACAAAAGTCACGGATTTTCCACATGGTTTCAATTCAGAAATTCTACAAGAAGTAATTGTGTTGAAGTAGATATTTCAGAAGCAAAAGGACCAGCATAAAGCAAATAAAAAAGATCAAACCACTCCTCAACACAATAGTCAACGCACGATGAACACTGCACATATCAAAGTTAACTTGAAATTGATAAATTTTGAGACATATGGAAGAAGTGTGATGAACACACTGCACATATCAAAGTTAACTTGAAATTGATAAATTTTGAGAGATATGGAAGAAGTGTGGTTGATGAGGTTAGATCTCCATTTAGGTTTGTATTAATTGTTGTGCATAATTTGTCTGAATATAGCTACAAATGCAATGGAGGTCACTTGCCTAGGCCACGGGCTTTCTTGATTATCCATTGACCCCTTCCATGTAAGTATGTTGCAATGTATCACACACTTCTCTTTTATAATTGATGCTCCATACTATTCACTCTAACATTTCGGATGTGGGATGTATAACCATATTGCAGTCGTGGAATCTCATAAGTGAATGTATGCAATATTTTGTTCCATGATCTCCTCTATCATGTTTTATACAACAGTTATTTATGTAAGATTAAATCTTTATTTTGTTTACAGAATTGATACCAAATCTTACCTTCCATATCAACTTTATTTAGTTTCAAGTTAAATCTTTTAATCTGAAAAAAGTAGCGGAAGAGTGAACTAAGGTTTGTGTGAGTTGAAGATTGTCATTGTGGCTGGATGGGAGAACTTTGGTACTGGTTTGATGACTGGGGTTTTTTACAATTGTACTATTAGGTTGCAATATAATACCAGTACTAAATTATATCTAATGCAAAATAATAAAATATCAGAGTTTGGGGAAATGGTAAAAATTAAAGAATCACTAATAAAAAGCTGAAGTTTAAAGATCTTAGAATAACTATAAATATTGAACCTAAAAACTCTATATATTGAACTAAAATTGTAGGACTTTACCCCAAAGGGAGTCCTTCCAAAAATTCTCAAAGGCTTAAGTTAAACTCAAGCCTAAGAGGGGGTTTGGAAATAGTTTTCAACCAGCAATAGACGCGCCTCGGTTAGAACCTCACTAGCTGCGTCATTGCCCCAAGCGCAAAGATAGTTTTAGCACAGAATAAACTTCGTTTTATATATAACTTGAAAGCCATCTAATTTCTCTCATTAGCAGTGTGGGACTAGGAAATTATACTGTGAACTCCTTACTCATCATTCTTGTCCATAAACAAATCTAACAACTAAGACAAGCAAATATTAAACCGCAAAGAATAAGGTTGAGAGAAAGAGATCTAACTTGTTCAAAAACTAAGACAAGAAAATAACATTACAGTAGTAAAATAGCCCAGTCACCAAATCAGTACCAAAGATATATGTGGATGTTGCTGCAGCGGCTTTCAATTCCCACTGGATCGTAATTTCCCACTGCAGCGGCTTACATGAAGTAATTGTGTTGAAGTAGATAACTCAGAAACAAATCGATGTTGCCTCACACAGTAACCTCTACACAATGTATCAAAATCAGTTTCGTACAGAGATGCTATTTCTTTTAATTTTTGCCTGCTTGTTCATTTTTCTATCTTACCCACATATTTAAAGATGAATCATTTATAGGTGTTGAAAAGGACAATTTGAAGTTTGAAAAATAGAGAGAGTTGTAACTTGTACTAAAATTGCAGAGCCCTCATTTAAGAGGACTCTTCCAAAAACTAGCGTATGCCGCTAGTTGTAACGCTGACACGGTATTCTTTAGTAAAAGGCGAAAGAATAGTTCGCTATGTCATCATCACACGGCTCCGTGACTAGCTTTGATAGAGGCCCTTTCATTTTATATGTAACCAGTATAGTTTCTTTTATGAATTAGTCGATGTGGGACTTCAGTCTGATACCCTATCTTTGAATACTAATGAAGTATCCTAATCTAGCACAATTGAATTTCAATGCAAATACAGCACATAAATAATAACTCACCTTTCAAAAGAGGAGCTACATATGAGCCAATGATCTGTTCCATCTTTTGTTTTAAGTAAGTCTTTACAAACCTCACCATTTTCATGATCAAAACCTACCATGGCTATAGCATACAAAACAATCATGTACCATGGCTTAGTGTTATGCATGCACTGTAAGTAAACAGTTAGGCTTAACATATTTTATGCAAAAACACCAATTGCACAGCAAGGTGATCAATTTAACTTTATCAAACCCCCCAACAAATTGTTCAAGCATATCAAACTGAGCTACTGCCAAACATCATATTTCACATAGTTTCGTTAAAAACATGCACATTAAAGATGAGAGGCAAAATAGTTTGGATGAAATTAAAGGTAGTAGAGAAAATTCTAAGATGTGTTCATAATATGGCAAACTTGGATTGTGCTGAAGTAGAAACAAATTGAAAATCTTACTGCAGAGGAATACTGAGGATTAATAGCAATGCTCAAGTCCAACACATTGAAAGGAGGAGCAGATGTTGCTTCACAAGGTGTGAGTCAGGCTTGTACAGTGACCTCCACACAAGGTATCAATCAAAATTGGCAAGAGATTCTTCTTTCTATTATATATTCTCTGATAAGGATTGCTTGATACAAGATGTGTCATACGAGACGATTGGTTTTGGTAAAATGGACTCTGGACTCTACATGTTTGAAAGAGCAGAAAGAATCCTTGAAGCAACATGTTGTAAGGAATATTTCTTGCAATTTTATTAGTACTCCATAATTATACTATACCATTTTCATCATCATCCATACTATCTTCAGGGGATGTCTTATATGGAAAGAATTTTTAGTCAGGGGATGTCTTCTAAGGAAAGAATTTTTAGTGAGGGGATGTCTTCTAAGGAAAGAATTTTTAGTGGGGTACATTTGAACAAATCTGAATGAGAGCTAAATACTTTAAAATATGTTAGTTCTTAAGAGTACATTGACCAGATCCATTTGGTTCATTCTCGTTGACAGCTAGGTGTGTTAATATAGTCATTATTCATTTATACTAGGTACTAACTATGGATTTGAAAACATTGGCGTGTCGGTCTGCTATGGGTTCCCAATCTGTGACTCAATATATCATTTGCAGATGGTAGAGCTTAATCCTTTAGTTTGTAATTTAGTAGTATTAGAATAGTCTTCACGTTTTGCATAACATTTTATAAACTAGGACACAAACACAATAAATAGAAACTTGAACTAATTGTGACGCTGACAAGGTATTCTTTAGTAAAAGGCAGAATATTAGAGTCCCTTTCATTTGATATCTGAGCTGCTTAATTTCTTCAGCTGTAGGTTGGTTCTCCTGACAGAGATGGTCAAACCTTTTTTTGCAACAAAACGAAACGAAAAATGAAAAAGTTTAGTTTTTCTAAAAGGAGTGGCCTTGTATTGCTCTTACCTTGCTTTCTTCCTAGGGAGAATACGAAAGATTCTTGCTGTATGTGATTTAGTGTCTTTTGCTTCCCTCTCACAAAGATAACTTGCTCCCTTCTTCAAACCTTAACAAAACCCATAACATCAAGTTCTTATAACAAACCCAGCAAAACAAACAGAAGAAGAAAAAAAGGGTCGATTACTTTGCTTACTTGTTTGTAGAACTATGCATGTTGAAAGGGACCCTGGGTGGGTCCACCCTCGATTTCCTTGTTCAGAAGCATAGTAAAGAGAGATTCATGCTCCATTGAAAAAAACATAATGCACTACAAGATTCATCGGTTTGATCAAGGGCTTTACTTCAGTTCGTGGAGATGTGTTTCATCAACAGGTTTTCGGACAATACGGTGTATTTAGTTTTGTTTCGAATTCAAGTTTTGAAGGAGAGGGCGTTTTTTTTTAGGTCATGCAATGTAATTAGCTTGCCAGAAAAAGTTGTAAAAAGAAAAGTATATAAGTGTGTATAAAAAGAGATATCTTGACAAGAGTAATTTCATAAGGATTGATTCATCAACTACACAAATAATTCATCAGAAATAAGGTTGTAGCAATGTTTTCTCTCTCATATTCAAAAATTGTCGATAATAGTGACACTCTCAATTTGAAATCGGCGATAGCAGTAACGCTCTCGATTTAAAATCAGCGACAGTAGCGGTGCTCTCGTTCCAAAACCAGCGACAGCAGCAGCACACACACATACTCTCTCTCTCTTGATCTAATATTGGCGCTCTCTTCTCTCTTAAGGTTAGTTGTTCAAATTCTTTGGTGTCATTTTCTTCCTTCTCAAATTCTCCGTTGTCGTCTTCTTCTCTCACAAAATTCTTTGACTCTATTGTTGGAGAAGAGTTTGACATGTTCACAAATCAACCATAAACCCTATTGTTGAAAGAGAGTTTGATATGTTCACAAAATTCTTTTTTGTTTGGTAATGAAAAGTAAAGATATCCTCTCTAAGGTTTAGAGTTTATCAGATTGAGTAAATCATTAAAATCTTTATTATTTTTTTGTTGTAGGAATAAGGGTTGGGGTTTATCAGCTTAAATTCTTCATTGCTTAAACATGGCATCATCAAGAAATTCAACTAAAATTGAAGTAAGTATGACCCAACATTGAGACCGTTTTCTCGATTGTGCCCGGGTTGACGGCATGTACTGCATAATTTTACCATTTTGTTTGTTGTATCCATTCACCTACACAATCTCAACTACGCATGTATAATATTTACAACATTAATAAACTTCCCCAAGCTAAACACGACAAGCTTGCGGAAAAACATAAATTGACATAACGAAACAAACGTTTGAAAGTGAATTAACAAGTTGAAAAGTGAAAATTTGAGAATTTAAAACAGGTTCAATTTCAACTTGTTAAAACACAAGTCAACACATACATAAACTAATACAAACAAAATATGCTTATTTTACGTCGTAAGCTCGACACTTTATTGTGCGAGTTAGTAACCTCCTCTCGTCATGCCATGGTATTGTCACACTGTGCAAACCTAAAGAAAGTGTCCTAACATCCATACAACAAACGTTACGAAAACGAGACAATTCACAACAATACGTGAAAACAAAGAAAAACACATATATGCACAAGTATGGAAAGTAAACGCAAAACTTGTACAAGTAAAAATAGACAAGTTTATGTACATATTCTATACAACATATACATTAATTACAAAACTCAAAAACAAAGAAATTATCGCAATACAAAAACAATAAACATCAATCATCGGTAACGGCTCCATTTTGTTGTTGCGAAATATAGCGACAAGCAAAAAGTAAGATATTAATTTACCGGGTGATATTTAGGTTATATCGTATCGTGTCCACAGAGATTGGTGTATTGAAATGTTGTTCAACAAATCTATCGTTAATGAGTTTGAGGGTTGAATGGGTTGTATGGAAAAGGTATCAACAAAAAATAAATGTAAACAAAAACTATAAATGATAGACAATTTATCCGGTATGAATGTACTTTACTCGTCATAAACTTAAATCTATCGATCAGTTGCGCTCAACCTATTGTACTCGTCAAAATCATCACGGACATTACGAGATGTACCTACAATGAAGGTTATGTCTAATGCCAAGTCGCGATACCAACCGTATTACTCTATCGGCAATGTCTTGCGCGCTACAACAACACAGAGGCATTAAGCTTTAGCACCCAAAGTGAATATTAGCTCTAAGTCTATCTCTAGAATCTATAAACTAATAGATATTCATCCATAATCAAGATTTGTGAGGTATATGTCTATAACAACCCAAATCCAAACATAAAGCAAAAAGATCAAAGAAGTCATCAAGATTGACTTGTAAAGCAAGCTTTATACTACACCATAATCAACAAATATACATATGTTCAAAGTAAATATACAAACAATACCCAACAAAAGATAAATACAAAGAAGGGAGAAGAGATAAACCATAAATCTTCCAGTTTGTCAGTGCCGATCGAAGAGAAATCTACCTCCATTCATCCATAAGCAAGACCCTAATGTTGTTTTCTAAGTTAATCTATCAAAAAATGAAGGTTTGATGAGTTGGGAACAAATAACCCAAAACATAACCTAAAAAATGTGTATTTTGGCCCTTTTAACGCAATTTTGCCCAGGGGGCCGCGCTAAGCGGCACAATCCCGCTAAGCGCGCTCTATTGTCATGAGAAAAAAAATCAGTTTTTTGTTTTCGCCATAACTTGAGAGCTGTAACTCCAATTTATGCCTGGTTCGAAGCGTTGGAAAGCTTATTCAATTATCTATCTAACAATTCCTAAATGTCAACCAAATTTATGATTTCTTATTCTTTGATTTGAACTTTATTCGTTGATGAGTTGTTCAAAATCGTGCGTTTGAAGCAGTGTCTTCGACACTTTATTGCTCATGCTCCAAATACGCATTAATACCTATAAAATGAATGGGAAACTATCAAACGGTACAGAAATACACAAAAACTCGATTAAATACAATTTATACATAATTATACAAAAAAGGGGAATTATTCAACGATATTAACAACAAAAAGGCGATAAGTGCAACAAAAAGTATATATAAAAATAGCTTCAATTTACACTTATCAGTGTGTATATGTAAAGGTACTTTAATATTGGTGTGAGTATATGAATGAGGTGCTGATTATGAAGGTGTTCTTCCATTTATTCAATGTGCAATGCACTTCTGCCAAGGCAAAGCGAAAGAAGAGTTACTTTCATTTTGTCAGGGAAAGAAATGTGTAACACCCCGGATTTTCATCCAAGACATGACTTAGAGATTATTAAAAATATTTATTTAAATAAAATAAAAGATTTTGAAATTAACCAAACTCTATGACAATTCAAATTCATAAGCAGTAAATCCTCGTTTTTTCAATTCATTCGAATGAAAATAAATAACTTAAAACATAAAGTGATCAACTTATAAACTAATGAAATATTTTTAGTTTGAAAACGCCATCTTTCCCGTAATCACACATTAAGCAAAATATTAATCACTTTGGAACTCCACATTTGTACCTAAAATATTGGTTGTAAGGGTCAGTCTCCTTGTCAAATAAACTAAATGAGAGTTAAAAATTATAAAAATATAGACACACATATCATGTCCAAGAAAATTAAATAAAAGAAAGATTCACTAAAGTTATTAATATCAAATTGAAAGCATAACAGAATGCACATAAAATAAGTCACTCAAGATTAACAGCAACAACAACAACAATGCTCACACAAGATTATATGCAAAATATGCATCCTCTTAAATTACATGATCAAGATAAAATCAATCGCTACTAAGACAATCACACAAAAATCTCTACCCACCACTAAAGCAACCACACAGATATTTACACATTATTAAGGCAATCATACAGAGATCTTTACCGCCACAAAAAAATGATACAAAGATCTCTACTCGTCATTAAGACAATCACATAATACATATGACATGTCATACCTTATAAAAATAATATAATCCCACCACATAAGCAAACACAGAATAAAAATAGTATTTATTCTTCCTCGCATAGATTTAAGAACCACGAGTTATTCTCCTAATTTAAGACCTCGTATAAGAACATGTTGCGTTAATTTAAATTAGTTATTGCTTTATTTATTTATTTCAAGAAGTATTGCATCACAGGTGTAGTTATACACATTTACAGGCTATACATATTAAATATCTGGTTATCATAGTATCATATATGAACTCACATAATTTGGAAGACTAAAAACATTAAAACATATATGTGAATCACCTGTACATTTTAAACCACACAAAGTATCAAATTTTTAGTTAATATGTTAAATATTTTTGTATAACTCACATTCCAATTACAGCAAATTCTAGTCATGAGCAACACAAACTTGAATTCAAATGATTATCTAACACACAATATATTTGAAGATATCTAGAAGTCTGATGTGGTACTGCATAACACTAGTAAATATCAAATATCAAACAAAAGGTAATTTCTTTGTATACCTCTATGGGATGGAGAAAAACCCTTGAAAACCCAAAAATATCATTAGGAAAAGTATCTCCGAAAGCATCATAAATCAAGGTGTTTCAGATATACATCTCTGAAAATGATCTATTTAGACTTGGCAATTATATTTAAACATGCAATGATATTTTCGGAGATGCATCTCCGAAACCCCCAAAGTTGGTGCTTTCGGAGATACATCTCTGAAACCCTGGACAATGATTTTTTTTAATCAACAATGGATTGATAAATAATTAGATGAAAATGATAATAAAAATGTAAATTAACAATGAAAAGACATAAATAACTATAAAAGACATAATAAGTTGTTTATAATGAAAATAATAATACAATAATTGTTCATAAATTATTCATAAATAAATAAAACATAAAAAACATAGTCTATGGGTATGTCTGATCCTCACTCTCTGGCCCCCCTCCTTTGTTTATTGTATCCTGCCGCACTCTCTGCCTTCCCAACCATCCGCTCTACAATGGCCACCGCCTCAGGACCTCTCGGTCAATGATATCTATGTCCAAAGCCTCCCGCCCAATCATTTGTATCAGCTGATAGATTGACAGGAGATTGATGACAAGGTCATCCTCGGCCTGTTGGTTCTCTAAGATCTCCTTATGAGTTGGCCTAAGTGGACTTCCAAGAGCATATGGTGTCATGACAGGATGTGATACTATGTAGAACCATGAGAGGTACCCCTCTACATAGTGCCAGTTGCTAGATGCTTGCATCATCCAACATTCCTCTGTAACCAAATGATGCTCTCAGTCCTAAAATATGCCATCGAGCTCCCGGCGAACAATGGTGTCAAGAACATTCTGAAAGAGAGATTTGGGTATGGTCTGCACATAGCCAAATTACCGCATGCATCACTCTGGAAGATACTTGACCATAGTGTTAGTCCCATATGCCATCCAGCCACCCAGAGTACAGTGAGATGGGGTCAAACTGGATAATCTCTCGGTGACCCTCGAACGGCATCCATTGATGTCATCATGGATAGTCCTATCTAGATACATCCAGAAATGCACCATAACATGGTTCCCTCTGTGTGGAGCATACCAAACAGCCCTCAACATGTCCTCACTATAATCCATAGCATAATCGGAACCATGGATGCGGTGGAAGTGAGAAATGATCCAGCCCTGAAAAATGAATAAGATTCATGTAAGGACAAATTATAGTTATTAATAGTAAATTAAATTTAATAGTTGGAATGATAATTACCGTCAGCAATGTAGCAGATCCTGTCAGCTGTCGTATCCTCCAATTAGAGGTTTCATTCAACTTTTGGTACATGTATACCAAACAGCCAGCCCCTCAGTTCCAATCCCTCACCCTATCCAAATCCATAAAGT